TTATAAATTCGATCATGTATCGTAGCTATCGTTATTAAAACAATAGTGTATATATATTAATAGAATATCACTATGAAGGTTCATCATAGCAAATTTAACTCTCAAATTGCCTGTGCTATAGGTACCTAAATCTCATGTATAAAAGCTTAAAGGGGCTGCACCAAGGTTGTTAAGATCGAAATCCTACGTAGGATCGTTTTTAGGTTTGCAAGATCGGGATCGGGATCTTAAGATCCCACAAAATAAAATATAATTTTAATTTCTAATTTTTAATCATGAAAAGTATTTCAAACATTTAATTTTCCGTTCAAAAGTTATAAAAATTTTAAAATATTAGTCATAAGTCACAACACAAAATGATAATTGGTAAATTGGTAAAGGGTAAAAGACATAAAGTGGTAAAAAAAATCATTTGCAAAAAAAAAAAAATAAATAAATAAAAAAATCAAGGGAAGGTAGGATCGGATCGGATCTCGATCCTACGATCCTACCTACGATCTTACGATCCTACCCCAAATACGATCCGTTTACGACCCGGATCGTTTTTCATACCTAGGATCGTAGGATCGTACGATCCTACGATCATGATCGCGATTTTGACAACCATGGGTTGCACTATATATATATATATAGGTAAAAACAATAACCTTAAAGTTCATTACATGTAAAATAAAGCCCATAAAAGAACAACGGGAGGACCAAAGGAAGGTTTCCGCTATAGCGTTGATAACATGGACGAATTTGTTCAACAGAAAATAGAGCAAGAATCTCTAAATTTCAATAACTATAGTCTAAAACTTATGTGGTTCAATAGAGTAAGTGCCAGGTAACATAAACATAGTAGTTTAGCAATATCAAAGAAGAAAAGTAACAAGTTAAGATGCCAATGAATGTGATGATGGAGATTATAGAGGGGAATGATTGCAATAAACATATGATGAACAAAGGTGGGATCATGGAATTGCAAAATCATTTTGGGTTTCTTATTTCTCATAAGGTTGCTAATTGTGTTGGAGAACGAAGGGGTTCTTTGAGATTGTTTTTCAAAACAACTTATTAACTTATTGACTTTTTGGAAAGCTAATAAGTAAAAAAAATGTTTTGCAAACTTAAAAGTACTTTTCATAATAGCTTTTCCATTAGCTTCAAAAAAGTTGATTTTAAAAAGCATGTAAAACTTGGTTTTTTGAAATTGTTTTTGGTTTTTTAACCAAAATAACTCTAGAAATGAGATTTTAAACCAAACATTTTTTAACTTATTGACTTATTGACTTTTTCATCATAAAAGCCAATCCGAACACTTTTTTGAAAACTCATTTTATCACCACTATAAGGCTAGGGGGACGGGTAACACTTCTAGCACATTGTACATCAGTTTTTTGAGTGTCACCTCATTTTTCTCTCTTAACACCTAATTCTTAGCATTTGGTGGGGAGTAGTAACACTCATAACATTTAGGTAAAAAATGTTTATTTTTAATAAAATTTGTGTATTTATGTTTGATTTATAGATGGATCCATTCAAGTAGCAACCAACCAATCATATTCGCCCATTGCCTTCTCTCTCATCTCGCCAAATACCTACCGAACCACTCTTAGCGAGCCCCCTAGCGGACTAGGGGGCGGTGTTCATCAACCCTTAGCGAGCCTAGCGACCGATCCTAACACCTCCACTTCGTTCAACTTAAGATAATAAGCATTTGTGTCTAAAAAGCACTTTTAGAGTTCCAAAAACACATCCAAACACCCTCTAAATAGTCATTAGTCACAATATGAATTAAGCAATCATTGTACTCGTACTTAGAGGTAGCAAAAATTGACACGACATGAAACCCAACACGAACCCGACACGAAATAAACGGGTTTGGGTAAGATATTTCAACCCGTTTAAATAAACGGGTTGACACGACACGACACGAAAATTAAATGGGTAAGGTTAGGGTTGAGAATTTCAACTCGAATATGACTCGAAAATGACCCGTTTATTTATATGCAAGTATTTTGAATTATTTAAATAAACTAGAGAGATACAAAATCAAAACCATAAGTAAAAGAAAACCTTCGAATTAAATTGTTTTGTAATGTTGAAATGACTTAGCCATCTAGATCAAAACTTCATTTCAATTTTTCATTCTCTCCCAAACTACCCAGTCTCTTTCACCACTCTCGCATCCTCATGACCTTTGTCATCCGCCTCCCCAACTCCCACTCTTTTAATTTTGTCATCTGAACTTGCTATGACTTCATCTATTCTGCCTCCAAAGTATTAGCTTTTCCATTCTGCCTACCTAACTCCTACTCTTTCAACATGCTCAATCTTTTAACCTCACATGACACGACATATTTCGAGCTATAGCCCTAACCCGAAACCCGACACGAACTCGACACGAAAATAAACGGGTTGACACGACACGACACGTTAATTAAATGGGTCGGGTTAGGGTCAAGCACTTTCAACCCGTTTAGTGTTTCGACACGACACGAACCCGACACGACACGACACGATTGCCACCTCTACTCGTACTCTTCGTACTCTTCTGTTCCCTTTAATTTTATTATTATTATTATTATTATTATTATTATTTTTTGCAAAGGGTTTATGCCATAAAAACAATTATATATACAACTTTGTTCTGTTTTAGCCCTAACTTTATTTTTTGTTCCTCATTTGTCATTATATTTTAGAAAACGTTTCATTTTCGGGCTATTGGCCGGTCACCAACAAGTCATAATGATGCGTCAGTTTTGCATTTTTCTCAGTTTGCATTTAGCCTCAATATTTACGTATGAGTTTGCATTTAGGTCCATTATTTTTATTCCCCATTTGCTATTAGCTTTTAGAAAAAAAATTCATTTTAGCCATTGGCCAATCACGAATTTGTATTTTCAAACGTAATAACTTAAAATGAAAAAGAAAAAAATGAAGGCAAAAGTCGAAATAACGACTTCTCCTTGAAGGCGAGACGTGTTAGCCAGTAAGCCAATGACTTATTTATTTATTTATTTATTTATTATCAGTGTTGGTTGTATTTAATGTACACATGTATTTTAAAATAAAGGAAAAAGACACAGTGTAAGTTTCGAGTCCGACACATCTAATAAATGATGTGACATGTTAATCTTTGAACCAATAAAAATTGTCATTCTTTGGTTTCTTAATAAATATGCCATTAGAAATATTTGGTTTTTCAACAAATATGTCATAAAAAATAACCAACTGATTCTTAGATGAATTACAAATGAATTAACAATTTTGATTTGTTTAAACATTAACATGTCATATTGTTTATTAGATGTTACAGACTCAAGACTTATATTAGGTTTTTTTCCTTTATTTTAAAATACATATATAATTAAATACAACAAACACTGATAATACAAAAAAAGATAGCTATTAGCTTATTGGCTAATATGTCCCGCCCTTAAGGAGAAGTCGCAATTTCGACTATTGCCTTCGTCCTTTTATTTTTTTTATTTTAAGATATTACGTTTTAAAATATCCATTCGTGATTGGACAATGACTAAAATGAATTTTTTTTCTAAAAAATAATGGCAAATGGGGAACAAGGACTAAATGCAAACTCATACGTAAATGTTAGGGCTAAATACAAACCGAAAAAAATACGAACCTACACGTCATCATGACATGTGGGTGACCGGCCAAGAATCCGATAATGAAATGTTCTCTAAAATATAATAGCAAATGAGAAAAAAAATTATAACTAAAACAAAACAAAGTTGTATATATAATGACTTTTGTAGTATAATTTTTTTTAAATGTAAATTGTATGTTTGTTAGATGATTAAAGAATAAAGAATATACCATATGTTTATTAGACTATTAAAATAAATGTATATCGACTTATAAAAATAACAAATTTTAGGTTTTATATATATTTGGTCACTAAATATATTTTTATATTCGATATACTACTTAAAACTTATATTTTAGATATAAATATATATTATTTATTTAAACCGCATAATATGTATTTACAAGTTTTTAAATATCAACAAACTATGCAGTAATTGTTAGGGTTTGGAGGAGAAAAAGAAGGTTTATGAAAACGATGAATAGCCTAGATCAACTTGAAGAATCGTGTAATCACTTTTCAAATCCGATATTTTGACACTATGCATGATTTACACGAAATACAAATTATGGGGATAATCGTTCAATAAATAGTTTCGTATCAAAATACTGATAGGAGACCATGAAGTTACGAACTAGGATTTTATAGCCTTCAAATTCTTCTGATTACCAAATATATGATCAATCAACATTACATGCTGATTTTATTCTTTAATTAAGGGATGACAATTCCAATGATAATTATGGGTAATATATTTCGAAAATAATAATTTTCATAATACTTTTATTAGTAAAATAAATTTCTGGACGGGAAGCTGCCCCTTAGACCACACCATTTGGTTGAACCAAGATCAAACTCATTTTATACAAAAGTGCACTTCACATTCCTAACTTGTCTAAAACCAATATTTGAACTCAATTGGTAATTTATAAATTCCATTACATTAGAATGACCAAGTGGCACTAAAATCATCAATATAATTGCCTACCAATAGTGAAGGAGGCGGAGATGCGGGTGGTGTTGGAGTCGTTGAAGAAACATGACATTGTCTAAAGGTTTTGGGTTTCTTATTTCATATTCCATAGTATTTTGAGAAATGCTTCCTTAGATTTATAAGTTTTATTAGTTTTGGTCAAAGGAGAAGAGAGTTGCTTTAAATAAATCTATGGTTGTTAGCCTAAAAGACTCGATGGATTCTAAAACTGCAATGACCATTGGTATCAATATTTCAAAAATAAGACCAAAACTTGATATAGTTACAAACCATAAGGATCAAAAATATAATTTAATGGAATCTTTAATAGAATATATGAATATATTCAATATAATATAATAATATTGTTTTAATAGAATAATATTGTGTTTTGTACTGTTATGTGGTGTGGTGGACTGGTGGTAGACTGGTGGGGAGGGGGGTAGAGTCAGTTCCAAATGTTGCCATCCAAGTCACTGTTTTCCCCTGCAAAAAAAACTAGAAACCAACTCATTGTTCAGAGTTTTAGAGAGAGAAACTGACAGACTTATAGAGAGAGAAAACTCAACGAACGTGATTGCGATGGAGTGTTTATCACCCCTCCTCATTAATGACATTTACTCCTTTGCCACCTCCCACCTCCATTACCACATTCTTCTTCGAAAGCTCACTCACCAATACTACAGATATCTTTGTTCTAGGGTTAGGGTTTTTTTATATGCTTGAAAGTCTTCGAGATTCCGTAATCCTCGCCCTGTTTTCAAAATTCGTGTCCGAGACCTTCCTTCCTTCAGATCGTCCCCAGGTGCGTGTGTTTGTGGTTGTGTGCGTTTTAAACTATTCATATTAATTTGTCGTTTCGCACATTATTTTTCTGTATTTTTGCACTTGACATTGTACTTTTTTTACCCCCAAAGTCTTGATTTTGAGCTCCGTGAAGCTGCATTTTCTTTTTTGTCAAACTTCGGTGAATCCGGACTACTAATTTGTCCACCTTCACTTGGAAATGGTTAAGTGTGGTGGTGGTGTGTGAACTTCACTTCGTCTTTCTGTTTGTTTTATATGGCTTTCATTTGTTAACGCTGCTTTCCTCTGTTTTTTTACAGGTGAAGAAGGGAATGTGGGTTTTCTTTTCAACCTTTATCGCTGTTGTTCTCTGATAATGTGAAAGGTGCTTCATTTTGCTATATTTTTGTCTTTGGTGTTTATGTTTATATAACCTTTTGTGCTCTAACTTCCCATTTTTGGTTTGCAAAAAATAATAAATCTTTATGCTATTTTAACTACTAAAGGGTTTTTCTGAAAATGATGTAGGAATGAGAAAAGAAACATGTACAGTATTAATCTAGAGTCAAAATTTTACATATTCTTGTTCTTTGTGATCTGGTTTAGATTCCTTTTCAGAAGCATAAAGATGAAACTTTCTTTCCTTTATAACTTGTAAATGTTTCACCCCTTTTCAGGTGCTTTTGGGTGGGTTTATGGTAAATAAACTGAACTTATTTAGGATTAATAATGGATGGGCGTCGACATTCAGTTGACATTCCTCTTTCAAAAGCATTGATAGCTCTTCGAAGAGTGAGATCACTTAGAGATCCATCCACCAACTCACTAAGCAGATTAAGTGCTTTTGTTGACAATTTGAATTGGGAAACAGATTCAACTGAAGGGATTGTTCTTGATCAAGTAAACAAACGCCTCAGTGACCCCACCACTTATGATTTGGGGTTATATGGGAATTCTGAGCTGTATCATGGTCAAACTACACATATCGGTCAATCTGGTTTACTTAAAGCAAGTCAAACACCCATTTGTGAAAACAAATCCTTAAGTGAAAGATATCATAATAATTACAATGATTTGCCATGCATGATGCCTACAAGTGATTACATGGAAGGTACAGATTCATGCAATGAATCAATGGAAGTGTTCATAGAAACAGAAAGACAAGATCATAATTTAGGATATAAAAGAAGACCAAGGCGTAAAAAACACATTATATCTTCCAACATTATAGGAGGTGACATCATCAGTTGTATAAGCAGTCCATGTTTATCAATGGATAATTCTTCATTTGGAGGGTCAGATTGTGGGACACCATTATATGGTGAAACCACTCCATTTTCAGAGAGTCCAAGAAGTTTAAGTCAGAAATTTAGGCCAAAGTCATTTGATGAATTAGTGGGACAAAATGTGGTTTCAAAGTCTCTTCTAAATACAATCTTGAATCAGAAAATTACTTCTTTTAATCTCTTTCATGGTCCACGTGGATCTGGGAAGACATCTGCAGCAAGAATCTTTGCTGCTGCTTTAAATTGTTTATCACACGAGGGTAAAAATGTCAAAAAGCCATGTGGGGAATGTCAAGAATGCACCTTGTTCTTTGCTGGAAGGAGTCGGGATGTTAAGGAAGTAGATTCAGTTAGTTTAAATAAAGCTGAAAATCTTAGATATATTATCAAGAATGCCATGCTTCCTCCAGTTTCTTCTAGTTTCAAAGTTTTTATAATCGATGAATGTCAACTAATGCAAGGGTCAACATGGTCAACTCTTGTGAATAGCCTTGAGGAAGTATCTCATCGGATCATTTTCATTATGATAACTCCTGACCTCTCCAAGCTGCCACGTGGCGCAATACACGGGTCCCAAAGATTCCATTTTCCAAAGATTAAGGAATCAGATATTGTTCAAAGATTGGAGAAAATTTGTTTAGAAGAAGGATTAGATTATGATCAAAATGCTTTAGAATTCATTGCTACAAGATCTAATGGATCTCTTAGAGATGCAGAGATGACTTTAGAACAACTTAGTTTGTTGGGGAAAAGAATAACCATCTCACTAACCTATGAATTAGTGAGTGATTTTTACATTTTTACCCATCTTTTTTTTTCTCTTGATTGGTTGATATTAAGAAATTTAAGATACCCTTTTTTGGATTTTTGCAGATTGGTATTGTCTCTGATGATGAGCTGCTTGAGTTACTAGCTTTGGCCTTGTCACCTGACACTTCAAATACAGTTAAAAGGGCGAGGGAATTAATGAGATCAAGAATTGACCCTATGCAATTAATTTCACAATTAGCAAATCTAATTATGGATATTCTTTCTGGGAAATTTCATGAAAATGTTTCTGATGTTAAAAGACAGTTTTTTGAAAGACATACTTGTGAGTATACTTGCATCAACCTTACTCTTTTTATATTGATCCATGGTATCATCAGTAAATAAACTAGTTTTTATGTTTTTTTTTAGCTGAAGCTGATTTACAACAACTTAATAACGCGCTGAAAATACTATCTGAAACTGAGAAACAACTGAGAGCATCTAAGAATCAAACAACATGGCTCACTGTTGCTTTATTACAATTGAGCTCTTCACCATCTTTTAATGCAAATGATTCAAGTTTATGTGAAAGAACTGTACACCCAAAAGGTACAATCTTTTTCATTTCTGAAAATAAATCTTGATGTTTTCTCTTTTTAAATGGTTGAAAAAATCTTGATTTTTGTTCTTGAATATGCAGATAGTGGTGGTTGTTGTCGCCTTTCTTCTGCTGATGAGAGCATAAAACATCTTGTGGGGTCTCAATGTGAGCATAATAATATTTGTGAATCAGAAAAGCTTAAAGATAAATTGGCATTGGAATCAATATGGAATAGAGCTTTGGCAATATGCAATTCCACTTCACTTAGTAGCTTTCTTCAAAGAAATGGGAACTTAGCTTCTGTTTGTTTTCACCAAGGTATTCTTATTTTATTTTATTAATTGTAACACTTCCCCTTTTCAGGGAAAAATTAAAGATTTAGTTTTTGTGTACATAGGAATGGCTGTAGTTGAACTCGAATTCCATCGTGTGAAACATGTATCAAAAGCAGAGAAGTCATGGAAACTGATAGCAACTGCATTACAGTCGGCATTGGGATGCAATGTGGAGATCAGAATCAGCCATTCCGATTCCTGTCATTGTAGGAATCATGGAAAAGTCAACAAGTCTAAATTCAACCTTTTTAACTGTTCATGGGGAAACAAGACATCAAAACAGAACATCACAAATTCATCTGAAAATCTTACTAAAGAAGCATCAAGAATGATAAGAAACAGCGATGGGAATGCACTAAGTGTTGACTTTTCTGGTCAAGATCCAGTGAAGCAGCAGCAATCGCAATCGTGTTGTTGTTTCCCTGGAATTGTGAAGCATCAGAAAAAGATTCGTTCATTGGATACCTCTATGGCTAGTGAAATAGACAACAACAATCTTGATTTGCCTGTTTCTAGAACATGCTTTTGCAAAAGATTTACATGCTGCAATGGGGTTGAAAGGTTGGATTTATTTATTTTATTAAATATTTATATGTAGTTGATTAATCTTAGCTTTATGTAAACATGATTTGCATTTTTTTTAGGCAGAAAAAGCCAAAAGGGTCGAAGGTGCATTGTTGGAAAGCTCCCATGTTTCCCTTGAAGAAGGTAAATAATGTCATTTTGTTCTCAAATAAAAGTCACATTTTTGGTCATATTATCATTGCTAAGTTAATATTTGGAAACAAAACAGGCTTGGCAGCTGAGGCTTCGACAACAAGGACCATAGTTGTTATAGGTATAGGGGATTATCAAGTTTGGTTATTGTGATTGTGTAATTATAATAGAGTAAGCATGTAAGACTTGTTGATAAATCTCACGTTTTGGTGTTTATCTTAAGACTTGTTTCAACATGTGTTTGTGTTATTTAAGAAGGGCCAATGAAAGAATATGATTTATGAAAGATTTGTTCACTTTTTCATGATGCCTCCCGATGAAGAGGTTGTTTAACTCAATAACACTTTGTAGATAAAAATGCTTATTAGTTTACGTGGTTATAAGAATGTAGTTTTTTAAAAAATGTTTGGAATGCTTATTGGTAGTATTTGTTTTTTGATAAAAAGTCTTTTTGGAGGAAAGACATTTAAAAAAAAAAGATTGTTTTTTAGAAAACAAAATATATAAAAAAAATCTTTTTAACCTTTTTTTTCTCAAAAAATAAAAAAATAGTTTTTAAATTTGGAAGATGTTTTCTAGGTTCTTATCTATGTATTTTTTTTCCACCACCAATGTCACCATCACCGTTGCCATTGCCCGTCACCTCCACCCCCACCTCCCCTTTACCTTCACCCCGACCACCAACACCAATACCACCATCGCTGCTACCACCGACAATACCTAGTTTTTCTTTATGAAACTTTAGAAAACAAACATTTTTTTTTGGTGAAAATGAAAGATATGGATAGACTTTTAATCTATATTTTATTCTGTTGACATGAAAAAAGACCGAAAACATTTTACCTTTTAAAAAACAAACGTCGCTTTAATATGTAAAATTTACTCATGTGAGCGTATACCGTGAAAAGAAAAATGTAGTTTTTAAAATAGTATACCGTGATAAGAAAAATGTAGTTTTTAAAATATTTAGTATTCTTACATATATGTAAAATGAGTAAATGACCAAAACTGATAGATAAGTTTGGGGTTATTGTTTTTTTTTTTTTTTTTTTTTTTTTTTTTTTTTTTTTTTTAATCTAATGAGCTATAAGCTTTTTGAAAAAAAAAATATGGCTTCTGAAAAATGATTGTTCGAGGAAATAAAAAACAATTTTCAAAAATATTTATTAGTTTTTGAAATATTTCTTTAGACTTATTAACCTTTTAAAAAACCAATAAGGTAAATTTTTTCAAATTCAATCCAAAGTCCAAACCAATTGCCCTAAATACCTAGTAGCTAGAAGACCCGTCTCGACTCAATGTAGCTACTTGGATTCCCTAATATTCAATGTTTTATTTTATATTTTTTTATTAAACATTTTTTATTTATTATCATTCGAGATAAAACTTATTTGTTTTTTTTTTGAGCAAATTATAGTCTTTGTCCTTGAGGTTTGCACGAAAGAACACTTTTGGTCATATTATTAACAAAATAACACCAATGGTATGGATAACACCATTGGTCCTATGAATTTAACCCCGTCTATTTTTCCATCCATTACCAGCCGTTGGGGAAATTAGAGGGGTAATATCGCAATCTCACTTGTTCACCATCCTTCACTTAACCCTGTGTTATAATTGACCGATAACCCCATCACTTCTTCTCCGTCCCTTTCTCTCTGATACTCGAACTAGAAGCTTCAACAAACGAAAATGGTGATATGCAGTTGTGGTAGGCCAACGATTGTGATGACTTCATGGACTAACACCAATCCCGTTCATAAGTTTTGGTGTTGTGGGGGTAACAAGAAACAACTGTGGCTTCGTAGGTTGGCTTGATCATCCGATGTGTCCACGATCTGTTGAGGTGATTCATTGTTTGCTTCGATCAATGAATGAGCTGAGGCGTCAAGTGGATGAAGGTAAGAACTACAAGTATCTCTTTTATCGATTGTGGGCTTTCTTAATCATTGCATATCTCTCTACTATGCGATGAAGGTTCAAGTGATGGTTGATGGATACTGGTTTTTGGGTATTAAGTTTTGGGTTTTTGCTGTTCTTGTATGATATAAAATAAGGTTGTGGATATGGGATGATATCTATTGTGTAATAGGGTTTTTGGGAGGGGTTTAAGATGTATGTAATGGAAATTGAATCCTTTGTAAAACACCTCATGTTTAATCAATGGAAATGAAAAGCTTAAGATATTGTATCTATCTTTAATTATGTTAATGTGATTTATTTATTGATGTTTCTTTATTCAATGGATTGAAATGTTTCTCAATTTGTATGAATTAATAAGATTGGGTAGATGACAATGTGTGTATATGCAATGCAATGCAATGGAAATGTATGTATATGGAATGCAATGCAATGGAAGCATGTATATATGTAATGAAATGCAAATGTGTGTATATTAATAAGATTGTGCAGATGCAAATGTGCTAATAAGGTACATTAATCTAGATAGATTGAATATATTTGTGTTTTAGCAATACACTTTCATACTTCATGCAACCTAATCATTCAAGTTACTTAATACACTGGGCACAATATGAATCAATCTGATCTAAATACAATTGTTTATAATAACATCCTACTTTCATTTCTTTGTATTACAAAGTGATTTTTCCAATTGTTGATGTGATGATTGAATGAATCCAAATAGACTGAATATATTAGTGTTTTAGCAATATAATTTCATAGTTTAGAAAACTTGATCATTGAACTTACTTAATACAATGGACATAACATAACATCCAAGTCATAGTTACATATATCATACCAAAAGACTTACATTACAAATGTAAGAGAGTTAAGTTATACATTCTAGAAAAAAGGGTTACTAATACCCATATATGGATGAAATCCATAAATTAACTAACCAAAAGAATAGAGTTTACTACATGACTCTATAAACCTAACAACATAACTTAACTAGCCCCAACATTACTACTTGCACCAGAAATACCACTTCATTGACATTTACATGTCCTTGAATTGTGTCATGTTTTCTTGCATTTTCCACAAGTTATAACAAAATACTTCCTTGGCAACTTCTTTTATTGACTACTAGACTGCTCATCAATACATCTCTTCCTTTTTTTAGGTCAACCCAACATGCTAACACAGATAATAAATACATCAAACCATAAATATTATATTTGTAACGTCCCAAAATTTACAAGAGATTTTTCATTTTTAAAATATATTACCAATTGAACCCATCTATCAAAAACCGTTGAATAACATTTGACAAATTGAAAATCATATATTATGACATCCCAAATTTCACGGCCAGAAAAGACCGATTTCGTTTATGCTTTTTAAAATAAAACCAGAGTAATCATTTGATTGAAAGTGTTGCGGAATTTGTTCCCAGAAAAACATGATAAATATGTTATCAAATCATTTCCGAAGAAATGTATTTTATTCATTTAAACCACTGGGATGTCATTGTCAATACAAAAACATAAGCATAAACAAAACTTACATTCATTTACACTAGTGATCTACTTCTCTTCTTAATCTCTAAGTGTAAAGCAACATCGTATCGATACCTGTGATACAAATAAACTGAGCGGGTCAGGCTTGGGAGCCTGGTGAGCATATAGGGTTTTCAACCCACAATAAATAAAATTTATTATGTTTAAACATCAAACAATCAACCAAATTACCCAAACCCATTATCTTCTTTATTTCTTAAGGAGTTACCCTAAGAATCATCTATCACTCATTCCTAAGGAATAGGCACGAAGTGTAACACCGTAATTTTTCAAACAGATTTTTCATTTTAAAATCGCATACTTTTCATAACATATTGTATAGAAATCTCGTTTATTCAAATTACAAAGCACAACTCCATTAATAATCCAGGATCCTCAAAACATAACTCTTTCTCTGGTGTGTACAATCAAGCCGGTGCCGTCCCGCGATCCTGAGAAAACCTGAAACACATAACACATAACACGGTAAGCACAAAGCTTAGTGAGTTCCCCAAAATACCATATACAACACATACGCCACTCGAGGCTACAGTACGACCCTCCGGTCGATGTGTCTCAGCGGGACCCTCCAGTCCCGTAGCTCGTTGGACCCTCTGGCCCGGTCATAGCTCGTCGGACCCTTCGGTCCAGTCTGTGTCGTTGGACCCTTCGGTCCGGTCTATATCGTTGGGCCCTCCGGCCCGGTCTATATCGTTGGGCCCTCCGACCCGGTCTTTTCAACACATAGCATACATATAACACAATGCACATATTCTCATATATACACATAACATACAAGACCCTCCGGTCTACATATAAATACCACTCTAGGTAATGTATAGTGAGAAGACTCACCTCGGCTAGCAGGTGAGCAAATAACCTCGCGTTCGGATCTCGAACTAGCCTCCTCCTAACACAAAGGATAAATATCTCTTATTAATACTCTTTTCACGACTCAGATAATCGAAGGCGGTTCTTTCTCTTTCTAACTCTTTAAAGTGGTTAAAAGACCATTTTACCCTTCCAAGGTCTCTATCACATATGTTGACCAAAACCCCAAAGTCAACAGAAGTCAAACTCGAGTCAACAGTCCAAGTTTGACCCGACTCGTCGAGTGTACTCCTGCGACTCGTCGAGTCCCCTCGTATCCTCATAAGTCTCAAAAGTCCAGCTCAACTCGTCGAGTTGACCCCCAACTCGCCGAGTTATCGCACAATCAATCCATCAGGATAAACCCTCGCCGACTCGTCGAGTCAGGACATTGACTCGGCGAGTCCCTTTGATCTGATTTCTCATTCAGACGATTTCAACCAGATCTATCACTCTAAACTATAGATCTATCATCCCAAGGCTCAATAATTACGTAAAGCTTCGATCTTTACGTTCATACATGATGTTATTGCTTCAAAATGCCAAACATGCTCTTCATGAAGGTTTTTGCTCATCACCCTCATTTGGACCACTAAAGCTGAGACATTTAGACTCTAAGGACCTTAGGAGGTCCAGATCTGAGGTTTCCAACCACAACCAGGTCTCATTCGACTCATAGATTCAAAAGGATGGAAGTAAAGCCCTAAAACTCCCAAAATGAGATCTAGTATAAGGAATGAACAATATGAGGACTTTGTACCTTCTCTTAGCAGCTGAAACACTCAATACCACAGATCCACTGCCTTCCTTTGTTCCCCATCATGAAGCTCTTCATCCTTCTTCATAGAAATGCACCAAGAACCACCATATGAGCTTCTCTCTCACTCTCTAGCTCCAATAGCAATTAGGGTTTGCTCTCAGGGGAAGGT